TCACACCCAACTAGCAGGCCTAAGGCAGCCCAACAACCAGCAGCGTGAATACGGCGACCGTCGCTCGCCTAGCCGCTAGCTCCGCGATTTGGCTGGCTGCCGCGCGCCCATCCACTGTTCCAGCAGCTGCTTGATCCTCCATCTCACCATTGATGTGAGTCACACGACTTCAAGGATTTGGCGATTGAAGGGTCAGTGATTTCCTCCATTAATGGCGGTTTGGAGTTCTTGAAACCCAACTTTCGAAATTGAGACCGTCTTCCCCATCGGCCATTGTCCCTCCTTCCATCAAGCCGCAGGAGTGCAGGACTGCAGGAGGGACTATCAGCAACAGCCTATCTTTCCTCAGATCTTAAGACAACGACGGGAGGAGCTGTCTGCTCGTCGGTTGGAATCTCAACGATTTACTTCGATGGGTAACGACGACGGACAAAGCTCTCTCCAGTGACCTTCTCATCCCGGTGTGTCAACCACCTTCAGTCAAGCTATGAATCCACCGACAGTAGACGATTCAGTTCCTTCCCTCTCCGACCGGTAGAGGGACTACGCCTTACACTCTCCCCGACGGCAGCAGTAGCCAGCGCCCAGCAGTGACCCGAGGTATCTCCCCGTATCAGACCGTGACTTGCCTAGGTCTTTCGCAGAAGCCAGAGGGGTTTGGTGGATTGACAGGACTAAACTTGAAAGTATACAAGTGTCGATATAGTAATAAAATATCGGTAAATACCGGGTCGATCCACAAGGAAATGAGTGATATTATAATGTCGAGTATTGAATGCAAAAGAATATAAATGGTATAATTTTTCAGTAACTTTGTTCTTTGAGATTGGTTTAAACAAGAATGAGAATAACTAAGGCAATCGAGATTCACCTTAATGCTTGAATAGGATTTAATACTAGTTCCTTTCCAATAATTATAAATATGTCGCTAATATATTCTCAACTCCAGTTAAGGCAGTGAGAGCGTAGTTTTCGTTACGTGTAAGTCCCGTTACGGTTTACATTCATCTATCGAAAACCCCGTTGAATATCAAGACATCACACCCGTATCATATAATACTGGATATATTTCTATTCTTGGTACTATATATGTTTATCATTTAATTTATCATAGTTTAGACTTCAACGTTAATTGCAAGTATAAACTAAATTTAACATACTTCTATGTTGTACACCATAGTCATAAACATACTTCTATGTTGTACACCATGGAAATGATTTAAACTGTTAAGTATGTAAGCTGCAGTTTTCAATGACTCTCCCCAGAGAGAATCTGGTAAAGTAGTATGACAAATCATACTCCTAACCATGTGTAACACCATTCATGCTAGGAGTTCCTGGCATGGTGTACTGGGGAACAATTCCACACTCCTCTAGGAATTTAACAAATGGCCATGGATGTTGTTCACCAGAACCATCATATCTACCCTAGTATTCACCACCACGGTCAGATCTAACAGTTTTTTCTCTTTTGCCTAATTGATTTTCAACTTCGGCCTTATAAGATTTGAACACGTCCGTATATATCCGAAGGGTTATTGCGGGAAGTAATCTAGAGAGAAGTCAGAGCAAGTAGATGAAAGTAGAGAGAGAGTATATTCAGTGTGTTAAGCGTGTTATGACTTTTCAGCCTGGTTACAAATGAGGAAATGGGGTGCTATTTATAGCAGCAATAAATGCCGGGCAGGGACACGTGTCAAGCGCTCATTGGCCGAGGGGTCACCTCAACTGGTTGGCGCTGGCAGCCGCATGTGGCCGCATTTAATGCGGCTGTTGGATGGGACGTCTGTGCAGAGTACGGTGATCTGTACGCATGTGAGGCGGATACCTTGTCGAGTGAGATGCCTTCGGCTATAGAGCAGTAGCCGAGGGCTCTTCCTCCCGATGGCCCCCTGGTGCCGAGGGCTCACAGTGCCGAGGGCTGCTGTTTTCGCCGTTTTCTCCCAGTTTCTTAGTTTGCTTGAGAAACCCGCTCTGTGATAATTTGGAGCCTTCGGCCAGGGGGCCGAAGGCACCCCTGTGCGTTGTGCGGACTGCTTGGTACTCTGGGCGCTGTGATTTGGGCCTGTTGGGCCTGTTGGGCCTTTGATGGAGTAGTAGGAGTTTGTGGGCCGGGGGTTCCCGGGCCATATACTCCATCAGGAGTCCCTCACTCCTTTTGCCGAAAGGTACTTGAGGGAAAAGGAGTAATTTGTGCTTGCCTTTTGATGTTGTCCTGTCGTGATCCCTGAAGTTGGTGAGGAGTTGTTGCTTTTATGTCCCTGCCGAAGGCAGTCCCTCAGTTACCCACATGTCGGGACTTGAGGGCTTGCTTTGTTGTTTGTTGGAATTTCACAGATTTTGTAATTTAATGATTTTCCCGAAGGGGTCCTCCAGTCCCCCACTCCTTGAGGCACTTGTAAAGTGGTGAAAAGGAGTAAAGTAGTTACGTTGCCGTTGTGGGCCGAAGGCTGACGCTGTTCATTTCATTTTGGGGGGATGCCTCGTTAAAAACCTCATTAGGAAAAACCCTTTGGGAAAAAAAATCCTAATGAGGGAAAAAGAGTGCACCGAATTCCCCCAATGATGAATCGAAAATGTCAAACCTTGGTGAAAAATGGAGAATGACGGGAATGCCGAAGGCTCTCTCTTCTGAGAGCTCCCGTGTTGATTGGCCGAAGGCTTGCTGTTGATGTCCTGGTGGTGCCGAGGGGGAGCCCCTCAATCCAGGGATCGAGGGGCTGCCAGATGAGGGCAGCAGTGAAGTTGTTACCGGGGGGTCCACTGTTTGTTGATGAGTTGGTGATGAAGATACCCGAGGGCTCCCATTACCTGTGTGCCATGGGTCATCCGTCAATGAGGCACTCCCCGGGGGCTGCCCGGTTTTGTAGTGTTGAGGGGGAAACCCCGAGGGGTGCCCTGATATGCAGCCCTAGGGATCTGAAGGAGTTATCCCGAAGGCGTGTGCAATGTGTTGTGTGGGGCATAACCCGGGGGCACTTCTGGGTGAGTGCACCCGGAGGCAATCCTTGATGAAGTGGAGTGAAGTAGAAAACCCGGGGGCTTTCAGAATATAGCCGTTGGAAATCCTGTCGTTGGAATGTGTAACGTCAGGATATAGCCGTTGGGAGGGGGCACACGTGGCGTGTGATGGCTGGTTGTCTGCGGGCGGCGTCACCGGTTGGGCGAAGACGCGGTGAGTAATGATGGCGTCCATCCGGAGGCCCGGAATCCAGGCCCAAGCCCGGATTCTATCGCCTATAAATACCCCAAGGCCAGGCATTCCTCCGTGTGCGAAAAACTTGTTAGCGAAGCTCTGCCAATTTTTCTAGAGAGAGAAACAGCAGCCCCCGGTTGAATCCCCTGTTCTCAAGGTCAGTGCCCTGCTCCCCTCTCAAAGTTTTTAGTAAGTTCCGCCCCCCGGTCTTAGATTAGGTTTAGAATCCTGTAGAGAGCCTTCAGAGTCTTAGGCTTATTCGTGATACAAAATGTCGTCCGAGAGCGATTCCCAGGACATCTCGAGGACGCCCTCGATGGAAGACGAAGGTATCTCCGATGTGGAGTCTAGTAGCAATCAGCCCTCGGGTGGTGATGCAGCTCTCGCCATCGAGATGCAGAAGGATTTGGCGGCCGAGGTTGAGGCGGAGGAGTTCGAGCGAACTGTCGAAGATGAGGAGTTAGCCCTCGCCGTCCAGATTGCTGAGGAGGAAGAGGAGAAGGAGAGGGCGAAAGTCACTGTGGCCGTCCTTCCCCCTCGTGGTGCTGGTGAGGCCAGTACTTCCCAGCCGCTGAACGCGGTTCCCATCCGGGTGGCCCCCGGGAAGAAGAAGGCCAAGGCGACTGTCCCCAAGAAGAAGGTCATAGCTGCTGATCAGGGGAAACCCGTAGACATGCCGGAGGGATATTCCTGGCTCAACACGGCTGCTTTGGAGATAAAGTCGAAGGCGGACAGGGCGGACCTCTACGTGACGCAGCTACATGTAGGGCCCTCGGCCGAGGTGGTCGAGCTGGGAGTTGACGATGTGCTCTCTCGGGCGCCTGAAGGGTGCATTGCAGTACACGTACTGTCGGTCTCCATGGGCCTTCGGTTCCCTCTGCACCCCTTCCTCCGGGAGTACCTGAGGTTCGTTGGCTTGGTGCCTTGCCAGCTGACACCTAATAGCCACTCCTACGTGGCGGGTTTTTTAAACCTCTGTAGGGACCGAGGGGTGACCCCCAGCCTGGACTTGTTCTTCTAGAGCTTCAACCTCTATCGAGGGGGTCACGCGAATGCCGAGGGCTTCGCCAACCTGCAGCAGGTGGCCAGGTGGAAGCTGTTCACGGAGGCGCCTTCGTCAAACAAGGGCTGGAAGGAGCGCTGGTGCTATGTCAGGGTTGCTGAGAACCCATTTCCGGCGGAACTTTGGGATCGCTTCCGTCGGCATCCGAAGGTTGGAAGCGCCGCCCTCGAAAAAGACGGCCTGGTGATAGCAAAAATCCCGGAGGGTCGCACAAAGCAGGTCTCCATCAAAGACTATACAGCCGACAAGGGATTCTACGCCCTCGGCTTTCGGAGATACCGGTTCATCGGGGAAGCGGACGAGAAGTACCCCATTTTTGCTGAGGCCTTCGGGGGAACAGGAGGTAGTGGCCGGGGGCTTTGCATTTTCGTACTTAGAGATTTTTTGTCATATTTGTTGTCGTGTCTCTGACCCCTCGGTTCTAACATTTCAACTTGTTGCTGTCGTTCTTTGCAGGTAGCAGGATGAATGCCAACGCCTTGTTCGCGAAGAGGAAGGGCAAGACCCAGCAAAAGGAGAAGGGGCCCTCGGGCCAGAAGCCAGTTGACGCGCTTTTCCCGAAGGTCATAGAGCCTTCCGCCGGGGACGCCCATGCTGCTGTGGGGACCGGGGGGTCGAAGGCCGAGGCGGCCGCTAAGAAGAAGAGGAGCGACAAGGGAGTGGAGCCCCCCACCAAGAAGCAGAAAGGCGCCGGGGGTGCTGTCAGGGGGGCGGCCCCCCTCATAGTTATTGATGACATGCCCGCCGTTGATGAGCCTCTGGCCTCGGTCCCCCCGAAGGATCCGGTGAATCCCCCCCGGGCGGAATCACCCCGGGAGATCCGTCAGCTCTCCTTTGCCCCCGGCGCTTCGTTGATGCACGGCACTGCCGAGCCGAAGGCCTTCCTGCGGGGCATCACCTCGAAGATGGACAGGGAGGTCTTCGAGACCTACGATGATGATGCCCTCGAGAACAGGATCCTCCGGTCCTCGCTCACTGTAAGTATCCGCTTCCTTTCTCCTTATCTTGTCAGTTTAGTCTTATTTTTTCCTGAGGAACAATCTAACTCCTTTGATCATTGTTTGCAGGCCTGCATAGCCCTCGGGGAACAGGCCCGGAGGCGCGAGGAAAGGTGTCTTCACGAGGCTGCCCAGGATAAGAAGGTGGAGGGGCTGATCCGCAAGAACTCCGAGGCGGTGAAGCATGCTGCCCAGCTGGAGGAGGCCCTTCGGGAGGCGAAGGCAGCGGCGGAGAAGGCCAAGGCTGATGGCATAGCCGAAGGCAAGGCCGAGGCCGAGAGGGCTGCTGCCGAGGCGGCGAAGAAAGCCGCCGATGAAGCCCAAACTGCTAAGGAGAGAGCTGCGGCCGAGGCCCGAGGGGAGGCGGTTGCGGAGTTCCTTGCTGAGGGCTGGAGGGCCGAGGGCCACAAGGAGTGGGTTGCCTCCGTGGTGGCAGCCTCGGTGGACGCTTGGGTAGAAGGCCCCGAGGTTGACTGGCTGACTGACAGGGGGGACACCTACTACCAGGGGGGTGAGTTCTTCACCCAGCACCTGATCTACCGGAGGCTTGCCAGGCACTTTGGCGTGTCCCTCGAGCAATTCGACCCCTCGGCATATGGCCTCCCTCCGTTGCAACCAGATGTCAGAGTTCCCCTCCCCCCGGGTGAAGAGCGGCCGACAATCTATGATTCTGTAATGATGGGGGGTGACGGGGGTGGAGCCGTCAGGGGTGATGCTGCCGGAGAAGAAGTCTCCTCCAAGGTTGTCGTGGAAGATGCCCGCGGAGACAATGAGGTTGAAGCCGCCGAGAAGAGTAGTACTTAGTCATTTTTTTGAAAAAGCTGTGTAATGAACATTTGTCACCCCTCGGTTTTGGCCGTACTTTTGTAACAAACACACTTGAATCCCTATCTTTTGTTGAATGAATGATTGCCTTCGGGCCTTGTGTGTATGATATGCTTCCTTCTGATCTGTTCATTGTCGAATGTATGCCTTCGTCTTGCTTTGGATGTATGCCTCCTTTTTTTTTGAATGTATGTTTTAGGACTTAGAATATTTTTCGATTATAGCTTGCCCTTGGAAGCCTTCGGGAGATGGCATCCCCTGCCGGATATGTGAATGTTGGGCCGAGGGCCCAATGCACAGGATTTAGAGATTTTTGCAAGTGAGTATGTCATGTAGCCTTCGGCTACTGTGGAGCCCCACCTGTAATATTGAATAGGCCGGGGGCTAAGTCTTTAGGACTTAGAAGATTTTCTTGAGTGTTGATTCCTTGTGAACCGTAGCCCTCGACTGATAGGTAGCCTTCGGCAATTAGGTCCCTTGAGATGAGGGCGAAATATGTAGGACTTAGAAAATCTTCTAAGTGTAAAGTTTCCCTTGGGAGCCTTCGAGAGTTGGCATCCCTTCATGACTTAGAATTTTTCTAAGCATAAATTGATGTTGAATCCTGTTGTTGTGAAGAAAGCCACTGAAGAGTGTGTGCCCTCGGCATACACTTTAAAAGTTGTAGAATTTGACCCTTGTCATGGGGAAAGGGCCCTCGGTATTTGTGCATAACAGATGCCTTCGGTGTTTGTTTGAAGTACTGTTTAGTGGACCTTGGACAGTCCAGTCCCTTTGTATTGTTGAAGCCTTCGGTTTTTTGTGACCGGAGGTGACCAGGTAGTGGACTTTAGCCGTTTCCTGATGATATTTCTTTGAGTAGTATCCTTCGGGAAATAGGAGTCTTCAATTACCGGAGGTGTTCCCGTGAGGAGCCCTCGGCATGTTGTGATTTTTTTGGAGTGTACTCTTTGATTTCTCGCTGAGTCTACTCCCCTTCACCCTTTTTTTTTTTTTTTGGGTGGTGGTGAAGGGAAGGCATCAAGAAACTTGGTTTCTTGGTAAGGCTGGGACTATTAGGAGACCATCAGAATACACCAATGGCTCTCCTTCCTCGGGTTAACCTTCCGAGTGCCGAGGGGATCGAGGGACGTTTCCTGGGCACAAGATATGGTGGTCCGTAACCTGCCTCCCCTTGGGAGATGGCGCGGAAAGCGCCTCATTTTTGAAAGTCGTCCCCTCGGCGCTAGACATAGTCTGTGGCCTGCCACACCCTTGGGGTGGTGGCGCGGGGAGCGTTTCGGTTTGGAAGTCGAATCCTGGGCATTTCTCATACCTGTCATACCCTGGGGGTAGTGACGCGGATAGCGTTCCGTTTTTGAAAGTCGAATCCTGGGCATTTCTCATGCCTGTCACACCCTGGGAGTAGTGACTCGGAAAGCGTTTCAAGGAAGGGTTTTCATTTGCACACTAGTTGCAAATGGCCGGGGGCACTACGTGCCGCCGGCACCGATGGTGGCGCCTTCGGTATATGCGTCCTCGTGGGGTACGGCTTTTAGAAACAACACTTGGTGTTAGTTTCGATGTGTAGCCCCCGGTACTTGGTACCGGGGGGGGGGGGGTCTTCTGTAGGAACACTTGGTGTTCTCCTTTGTTGCAGTTGATGGAGGTGTCTACCCTCGGTACTTGGTACCGAAGGGTCTTGAAATGAAACACTTGGTGTTTTTCAATGGATGTTTGGAAGTTGGTAGGAGAGCATCTCCCTAGCACTGGGTGCCGAGGGGTCTTCTTTGAGACATTTTGGTGTTTTTCTCTTCGTTTCGATGTTTGATGATGGAGGTGTACCCTCGGCACTGGGTGCCGAAGGGTCTTCTGTAGGAACACTTGGTGTTCTCATCTTTCCTTTTTTGATGTTGAAGGTGGGGATGTATCCTCGGCACTGGGTGCCGAAGGGAAATGAAATGCATGGTGTTCCTTATTGTTGGTACCGAAGGGTCTTGACTGAAAACACGTGGTGTTTTCACTGTTTGGTGTCGATGGTGTCCGCCCTCGGCACTTGGTGCCGGAGGGGGTTCTTCTCGTGGTGAGGCCTGGGGCCTGTGGTCAGTATGAGGGCTTGATGCCTTGAATGTATCTTCGTTCTTCGAATTTGAAAGCCTTGGGCCATAGGATAGTACATTCACTAGTTATGAGGGCTTGGCCGCTCTTACATTATTGATAAAATCTAACTAAGTGGTGTACATTCCAGTGCCTAGGGACTTCTTTCCCATTTGGGCGTTTGAGCTTGTAGGTCCCGGGTTTGATGATGGCTGCTATGATGTATGGGCCTTCGAATTTTGGTGCCATTTTTCCTCCCTCGGTTGGTTGGCTGACTTCCCTCCTCCGGAGGACATAATCCCCCACTTGAAATTCTCGGGTGCGAACCTTGGCGTCGATGTAGCTTTTAACTTGCCTTCGGTAGTTTTCTGCCCGGATGAAGGCATGCTCCCGGCGTTCTGAAATGAGGTGGAGGTCGAGGGCCATGTTGCTGTCGTTGACCTCGGGGTCATACTGGATCACCCTTCGGGTAGGAAGGGTGACTTCCGTAGGAGCTTTGGCCTCAAAACCGTAGCAGAGGGAGAAGGGTGTTTCACCTGTAGCTCGCCGAGGGGTGGTGCGGTAGGCCCAAAGGATGTTGTGAAGTTCTTCCACCCAGCCACCACCCTCGGCCTCCAGCTTCTTTTTGAGGCCCTCGAGCAAGGTCCGGTTGGCGTTCTCTACTTGCCCGTTGCCTTGAGGGTAGGCAACGGAGGAGAAGGTGTGTTTGATGCCCCATGCCTCCAGAAGGGCACAGAAGGGGGCTGCCTCAAATTGTGTCCCATTGTCGGAGATGATCTGCTGGGGGACGCCAAACCTTGTGAGGATGTTCTTGAGGACGAAGTGACGGCACTTCGCCTCCGTGATGCTGGCGAGGGGTTCAGCCTCTACCCACTTGGTAAAATAGTCGACGGCCACAATGATGTATCTGTTGTTGGAGGTACCCCTCGGCAGAGGGCCCACAAGGTCTATCCCCCATCGAGAAAATGGGACAGAGGTGCTGATGGGGGCGTAGTTGACCGCTGGCCTGCCGGGGGCTTTCTGGAAATGTTGACATGCGGTGCACCTCCGGGCAAGGTCAGCACAGTCCCTGGCCATGGTTGGCCAGAAGTAGCCCTGGAGAATGAGCCTTCGGGACATGGAGAAGGGTCCCTGGTGAGCTGAGCAAGTGCCACTGTGCACTTCCTCCATTGCGACCTCGGCTTCATTTGGATGAAGGCACCGAAGTAGCGTACCATTGTAAGATCGTTTGTAGAGCCTCCCATCTTCGATGGTGTAGCTAGGAGCCCTCAGCTTTGCCAGTTTAGCGCGGGCCTCATTCTCGGGTAGCTGCCCTGTGGAGATGAAGGCGGTGATATCTGAGATCCAATCCTCCTGACGTTGTTGTATGTTCATCACGGGGCTTGCATGGATGCTTGAGAGGCTGAGTTCCTCGATTTTGGCAATTTTGGAGATGTGCTCGGGGGAGTCTGCCGAGAGTTTAGATAATATGTCGGCCTCGGAATTCTGAGCCCTCGGTATTTGGGTGAGAGAGTGTGCCTCAAATACCTTAAGCAACTCCTTGGCTGCTTCCTTATACTGTTTCATTCTCCCCTCCTTGGCCTCATATTCTTCGGAGATTTGGCCAACGACCAACTTGGAGTCGCATTTGATGTGGATCTGCCGAGCCCTCATGTTGGCAGCCAGCCGAAGGCCACATAGGAGGGCCTCATACTCGGCTTCATTGTTGGAGACCTTGAAGGAGAAGCGGATTGCATAGTAGGCCCTGAATCCCTCGGGAGTAATGAGGACTACCCCTCCCCCGCATGCTTTGGTTGCGGAGGAGCCATCAGTGTAGAGGGTCCACCAGTCGTCCGAGGTAGCCGAGGGCTCCCCGTCCGTGGCTGCCCTTGCGGTACACTCCGTCACAAAGTCCGCCAGGGCTTGGCCCTTGATGGCAGGCCTTGGGCGGATATCAATGTTGTACTGGCTCAAGAAGATAGCCCATTTCACCATGCGGGAGGAGCTGATGGGGCTCCTCATGAGGGCGCCGAGGGGTTGATGAGTGAGGACCTGAACCGGGTGAGCCTGAAAGTAGTGGCCCAATTTTTTGACAGTCCAAACGATGGCCAACACCGTTTTTTCCACAGGGGAGTACCTGAGCTCGGCCTCCCTTAGAGTCTTGCTAACGTAGAAGATGGCATGTTGGATGCCGTCTTCCTCCCGGATGAGCACAGAGCTGATGGCCGCCGAGCTAACCCCCAGGTAGAGGTAGAGGGTCTCCCCTACCTTGGGTTTGGAGAGCACAGGAGGTGAAGATAGATATCTTTTGAGCTCGTCGAAAGCCTCCTGGCATTCCGGAGTCCATAGAAAGCCAGCCGTCTTCCTCATGATCTGGAAGAAGGGTAGAGATTTCTCCGCCGATTTAGATAGAAAACGGTTGAGGGCTGCCAGGCGGCCCGT